TAAGTGATGATGCAGATTCCCTTATTAGGGGGCTACTGCCCAGGGCCCCAGCATCACTGTGAGCCCTTTGTTCTCATCACCTCAGAGTCTGAGTCCCAAAGACTATGGTGTGAAAACAGCTCCATCAGCCTGACCTATTCCCTCTGCCTTGTCTCTCCCTCTCCCCTCAAGGCTCAAATCAGTCGTGAACCCGGGCTAGGAAACTATATCCTGCTGCCATCTTTCACTTCTATGGTTCTGTCATCTGCATCCCCAGGTTCTGGTCCCCAGACTGTGTCCTTATAAATCCAATTCTGCCATACCTGTCAGTTCCAGAACAATGATGAGTATGAGGGTGGGGATGGGTGGAACAGACCGCCGACCAGCAGAGGTGACTCTGAGCTCCACTAATAAGCAAACAAGCACCATTCCTAAATATTCAACAACATGGCTTCAGTTAAATATACTACGGCTTACCCATATAAAACAGTACTGTGCAAGCTTTTAAAAAATATTTTCTGGTATGGGGAAATGATTACAATATTCTGTTACATTAAGGAGCAAGAGGTTTTTTTCCGGTGAAATGCTACAACATGGATGAACCTTGAGGACATCATGCTGAGTGAAATAGCCTGACACGAAAGGGCAATTATGGTATGATTCTATTTATACGAGGCATCTAAAGTAGTCAGACCCAGAGAAACAGACAGTAGATGGTGGCTGCCTAGGAGGAGGGAGAGATGGGGAGTTGTTGTTTAATGGGTACAGAGTTTCAGTTTTGCAAGATGACAAAGTTATGGAGATCTGCTGAGCAACAGTGTCAATATAGTTACCACTCACAAACCGTACACTTAAAAATGGGTAAGATGGTGAATATTTTTTGAAAAGGCAAAAGACCTTTTTTTCAAACTAAACCACAAACTACAGCAAATCCCCAAGATTCTCTGTTTATCTAGAGATGTGACAGTGAATAAGAACAGTTCTTGCCCCAGATCTCAGGGAGCTTACATTCCAGTGGGGAGACCCGTGGATGAGGAATGTACATGAATAAACATAACATTACAAGAACAAGGAGTGTTCTGAAGGAGCTGCACACGGTGCTCTGAGAATGTTAAATCACAGCACTGACCTGGCCCAGGAGGCGAGGAAGTGAGGTGAGGACCCCAGGACCGAGTCCCAGGGAAGAGGAAGAGCTCCCTAGCAGGTGGGGACACAGGGAATTGCCCTCTGGAGGGAGAGAATGCATGCATCCTCTTATGAGTGTCTGCAAGGACACACACGCCCCCTGACCAGCAATTCTCTCCAAGTGGCGGGGTTATCACTGCGCCTCATCTCCCTGCATGTGTTTGTGGTACAACTTTTCCACGGTGAGCGTGGATGATTTTGCTGTTAGGAAGAGGCATAGGAAAATGATCTTCCTGCACAGATGGATAGCAGTGCTCTTTATTTATTTATGTTCTTCCTTGTTTCAAAGAGGATCTCAAGCTGCTTACAATTATGTTAACAATACAGCAGGCTAAAATACCTTGTCACTAAGTAAGAAAAATGAGGGGAAGCAAAACATGGCTGGAAGAGTCCAATGAGAAAGGCGGGAGGCTTCCCTTCACTCAAGAGGGGGTGGCCCTGTCGTGTTCCTCGTCCTGTCCAGTCTCACCATTTAATTCAAATGTGGACATTTGTCTTCTCAGCTGCACTGAGAAATCTTTCACAGTGATTTCCTCTGTCTGTTATGACTCTTTCTCCCTGAAAATATATCCTTTTATTTTTCTGTTGTGCGTATTTGTGGTTTTAAAAAATCCACATCGTCCCTTCCCCACCGGGATCCAGCGCAGCACAGGGACGTACTCAGAGCCCCCGCACAGTTGGTCTTCAAGTGTCTGTGAGCAAGTGGCTTCGTTGGGAGAGAGGGCGACTCACACCCTCTCCCCGAGGCACGCAGCCGGCGACACACCCGCAGCCCAGGCTCAGGACACAGTTGCCAATTTGATTTATGGGACTTATTATCCCAAGTGGTGGCAGAGAATAGATATTGATTCAAAAGGGTTTAAATAAATAAGTGGATGCACAATCCAGAAAGGGCTATAGACTGAGGAGAGGGGCTTGCACAGCCGCTGAAGCAGACTCATGAAAAAACACTGGTTCTCTTGAAGACTGGGCCTCAGGGAGTCATGGAGGGACGGGGATGGGCTGTGGAGTCAGCAAGCACAGGTTCCCAGCAGGCTCCATCGCATCACGTGACGAGGGGGTGACCTTGGACAAATCACAGAAACAAGACCTTTTGTGAGGACTGCTGAGAGGAACGGATCTGATGTGTACATTTGTGTATGCATATGTGTGTACGTGTACACACATACTTACAATGCATGTGTGTAAGCATGTATATTCACATGCGTATGTGTGTGCATGTGTGTATAGGTGTATGGATGTGTAGGTATGTGCATGCGTGTATATGTATGTATGTGTAAGTGTGCATGTGCATATACATAGATGTGTGCCTGCATGCGCCTGTAGAAGCACATATACATGTGAACGCATGTGTATGTGTGCATGCATGTGCGTGTGCATGCATGTATATGTATGTATATGTGTAAGTGTGCATGTATACCTGTATATGCCGTACACATATGTATATATGTGCATGAATATACATGTGTGCACGGTGTGTAGGTATACACGTGTACATACATGTATATATGCGTATGTGTATATGTATGCATGTATACATGTGTATGTATTTACATATGGATGTGGCTCATGCCCTGGCACTTAGTAGTTGCTCAGTAAATGAAAATTCCCTCTTGTAACACTGTCCTTCTATTCCATTTGTGCAGCAGTGAGCAACCTGAGATAAGAATATATAGAGCATTTCTAAAGCTTCCCCATAACACTCCATATAGTCATTTCAGGCTTTTTCATCCTCACTGGTTCAACACTACCACAATCACCAGCAACAGTAAGTTTCCCTTTTTAAATCACTTACAGTATATTCCAGTTACTGTGGCTACATAACAAATTCCCTCAAAATATAGTGGCATAAAACAACCATTTAATTTGCTCATGGATTTTGTAGATGGAGAATTCAGAGAGTGCGAGGGGGGGTGGTTGGTCTCTGCTCCATGATGTCTGAGGCCTCAGCTGGGGGACGTGAAGGCGGGGGCTGGAGTCATCTGCAAGCTCCTTTCCTCACATGTCACTGGGGGATGCTGGTTGTTGGCTGAGAACCGAGCTGGGACTGTCGGCTGGAGCACCTGCGTGTGGCCTCTTGGCTCCCACATGATATGGTGGCTGGCTCCGAGGGAAGTGTTGCGAGAGAGGGTGCCCAGTGAAAGCTGTATCACGGTTTATGACTTAGCTTTGGAAATCACACAGTGTCACTTCCACCAGATTTTATTGGTAAGGTGGTCACAGAGCTCTGCCAAGGTCGAAGGACAGAGATGCCCCTCTTGATGGAGGAGTGTTGATATCACATTGTAAGGGGAGCATGTGGGATGGGATGCATGTTGGCATGGCCATCTTTGGAAAATACAACCTGCCCATCTGCTTAGGTGATCTCTTATTTTTCAATTTTTTGTTTTTAAAAATAGGTATAATTATCTCCATTCTAGAAAAAGACAGACTGAGATTCAGAGATACAATGTAACTTCCCTTGGGCACTTTATTTAACCTCTCTGAACCTCAGTTACTCCATCTATAAAGTGGGTAGAAAAATCTCTACCCGAATAGATTGTTATGGGCCAGTAGTGTTTATTACGTTAGGGTGTTGAAAGTTTGGAGTTGGGAAGGTATTTGTGATTTCTAACAGCCTGTGTTAATGCAGAGCACTAATCTTTATTGTAGCATTGTTATTTCCTTGCCCTTCACCCATTGCCCCACAGCCAGCTAGGGACCTGAGTTCTTCTCCACATCCCCTTGAGAACAGAGCTTGTCCCAGCATTTAGGACGGGGGCTCACTTTTGTGCAGAAGAGCTTATAGTCCCCATTCCTTGCCTGTTTCCATCTTCTGAGAGGAAAAGTACCCTGTGAAGAATGCTAAGGTTTGCTTATAAATTCTAAATGTGTAACCCTTAATTACTCATTCAGTCAATTATGAGCAAGTAGCCCTTTGGTCCTACTTAAAAATGCCTCTGTTTCGCACATGGTGTCTCTCTCCCCCAGGGGAGCGGGAGGAAGGACTGGCATTTTTGCTTTAGTTCATGGTTCCCAGAAGGACTCTCTGGCTCCCGGATGGGCCAAGGGCCATCTTGGAAAACCACTCGTCTGGGGATTCATTCCAGGCCCGGTGTCCTTCATTGTTTATCTACCTGCAAGGTCTAAGGCCTTAAGAGACCCCCCTTGCTGCTCACTTGCCCATTTTGAGAGGAACAAATCTCTGCCCATGACCCCAAACTACTTCGACAGTCTCTGGGAGGCCGCTTGGCCGAGCAGGCTGTCCCTGGACCTGGCTGGCTGGAGCAGCTGTGGAGGCCTCCCTGCTTTTAGCTTCTGCTTGGCTGGGCTTTAAAAGGTGGGTTTCTCTTCCTCTGCCTCAAATCTCTGTTATCCCTAACACTCATCATTACCCTCAGCAAAATTAGTTTCAAAAAAAATCCCAATAACGTAGTTGAGAAAATTGCGGCTCAGAGAGGTGCTGTGACCCGCCTGGGGTCGCATGGCATGTAAGTGCCAAAGGCTCAGGAGCGTTTGGATGCTCCTGGGGGAATATGCCAGCCCCCTAGTAGCTGAGAAGCCCAACCCCTCGGAGCTCTAACTCCTCCTCCCTCCCTCCTGTCAACAAAAGGAAAATCATTTCCTATTCCTGGCTTCTCTGCCAGCCCAGAGAGACTGAGTGACGAAGAAATATCTCTAAATGTACCAGGATGGTCTTTCCCGGCTTCTCAGTTTTGCTCAGTCTTTTGTTGTTCAAAATCTGTTTCCTACAGACCCTGGAAATTGCAGGTGTGGGGGCCTGGGGAACAGCTGCCCTTGTCTCCTGGGCTTGGAACCGACTCTCTGGAGTTTGTGTCCCGGGGCTGTGTGCTCAGACTTGACCATGTTTGGGCATGGAGGCTTGTCCCAGATGGGGACCAAAGGCCGCTTTCCCAGAGATGGGCTGGGAGCCCAAGCTTCCTGCTGCAGCTCAGGCAGCCTCTTTTGGGGTGGGGGCTGGGGGCCAGGCCAAAAGTCTCTGCCTGCTGAAGACTCCGGACACCAGAAACTGTGAGTACTGCGTCCAGAGCACTTGGGCAGTGGTTTCTCCAAAGCCTGGAGCTAGAGCGGAGATCTTGGAGGAAGGAGGCTGGCAGTGGGAACTTGCTTCCTAGGGAAGCCCATCACGGTTCTGGGCTCCAGAGTGGCTCAGCCAAGACTAGACCTGCTGGTGTTTGGGCCCGTGGTCTGGTGGCCTGCTCCATGGCTGGGTCACTTGAGTAGCTCAGTGTCCTCGCACTCAGGTCCCAGCTTCCAGAGCAGCCAGAGGGCAGAAGGCTGGACAGCAGGACCCAGTCTTGGCCCTTGGCCCCAGGGGACGGGTGGAACAAAAATAGGCTCAGCAAGAGCACTGGGGACTTCTGCTCCAAACCTTCAGGATTCCCTTTGTTAATAGTAACAGCCAATATTTACTGAGAGCTGGCGTTGGGCCAGACACAGGATCAATATGTGATATTTGGTATGTCACTTGATCTTTGTCAGAACTCTCTGAAGCACATACTATTATTCTTGTTTAACAGCCACACCGTTGCTATGTGGCAAAGTCAGGATTTGACCCCAGATCTGCTGACCTCAGAACCCTCCCTGCCCCACACTCTATCAAACCCTTGAACACTATACTCTGTGCTCTGTCCTCCTAAGGAAAAGAATGTCAACCAAAATGCCAGGTCCTATCTTCTTTCACCTTTCTCCATCTTTCCAAAATCCGCCCCAGATGTTGAGTGACTTTTCTAAATGGAAGATAAGAGCCAAAAAGTTCAGAGATATTCAGCAACTCTCAAAATTGAGAAGTTCTTCTTGGAGTCTAACTGAAATCCCTACTGTTAGGGCTATACAGTCCCTTTCTTCCTGTCCAGGCCTCAGGGGACATCAGCAGTGCATACCCTTCCTCCTGCCTGAAGGCTCTCACTATGGTTGTTAAACCCTATATCCATACCCATATCCTCACCCCATTCTTTTATCCTGTGAGGTTTTAGGAGCATTGATCATGACTCTGCAAAGCCACTCACTCAGGGTAGGCAACAAGCTCCGCAGAGCATTACAGACAGGTGGGTTCTGAGCAAGCGGCCGGGTTCAGACTTCTCTGTGACAGGGGAGCCTTTCCTCTCCTCCCCTCTCTGCTCCTCCTGACTTCCCAGAGCTGGTCACACAGCACCCCTGCCTTCCCAGCATCTAGGGTGCCCGGGGCTGGGAGGACTGAGGGGCCTGAAAGGTAGGGCACACGCCGAGGGCAGCTCTTGAGTGCACCCCACGCTCCGGGAAAGAACTCAGCCCACCTAGCTGGATGGGGGCCCCCGCTGCCCCTTCTCTGCTTGCTGCCCCCAGCGCAGCCAGCCTTGCCCAAAGATTGTTCGTTAACTGGGAAATGCTCCAGGTTTTTCTGAGACGAGTGTCCTAGGAGAAAGTGCTCAGATGTCCCACCCCTACTGCCCACTGTATTCATTTATCTCCTGTATTCCTTTTCTATTGTTGCCGTAAAAAATCACCACAAACTTGGGAGTCCCGGATAACAGAAATCTCCTCTCACATAGTTCTGGAAGCCAGCGAGGTGTCGGTAGGGCTGAAATCAAGGTATCGGCAGGGCTCACTCTATCCAGAGGCAGAGAGGACAATCCACTGTTCCTTGTCTCCTCTGTCTTCTGGTGGCAGCTCATACTTCCTGGCATGTGGCCACATCGCTCCAGTCTCTCCTCCCCGGTCATAATCACCTTCTCCTCTTCTGTGTCTCATCATCTCCCTTTGCTTCATTCTTGTAAGGACCCTTGTGATTACATTTAGGGTCCAATGGATAATGCAGGATAATCTCCCCATTTCAGGATCCTTAAATTAAGGTCTTTGCCATGTAAAGTACCACTCACAGATTCCAGGGCTGAGAATATGGACCTCTTGGGGGCCATTACTGAACCTATCACACATACTGTGTGGCCTTGGACAAATCACGCTACCTCTCTGAACCACAGATCCTTCAACTGTAGAATGGGGATGATAACACTTGCCTCTCAGAGTTGATGGGAGGTTTACATGGGGTCAAAAAGCCCTCAGAGGTTGCAAAGCTCTATAGCAAACTAGAGGTGATGTTGATCACTGAGCACCCTCCCCTCTTCCCTGTCCCCACTTCTGTGGGTTACTCGTCGCCTGTGCTGATCTGTCTGTTTGCCTCTGTGGCTCTAGAAATGACCACTGCTTGCAGTGGACATGGGGAAGAAGCTGGTGATGGCCCAGAAGCGGGGAGAGACCCGGGCCCTTTGCCTGGGTGTGGCCATGGTGGTGTGCGCTGTCATCGCCTACTATATCCTGGGCACGACCATGCTGCCCCTCTACCAGAAAAGGTACGGAACTCTCCCTGCCTGCCCCCATCCTCCAGCCACTCTCCTACGGGTCCGGTCTACCAGGGACCCCAGCCTTCTTCCTACCCCTCCCCTTGACGTCACACCAGGCAGGAAGGGCTGGACAATCATTCTGAGGGTGAAGGGTTCGAGTCCTGGAATCTTAACTGAAATCCCTCAGGGAGGGTAGGTCCGACTAGACCCCACTCTTCTGGGGTTCTGGGACTTGGGGGTAGCAGACATAGGAGGCCCTTCTCACAAGAAGCAGCAAAGGATCAGAGCAAATGCCCCAGTGTGAGTTTGATCCCAGGAGAAATTGGAGATTATAGATTTTCATAGCTTGTCTGCACAGTCTGAAATCTCATCGCCAGGTGGGCGTCTAGTCTCCTGTTGAATATCTCAAGGGACAGGGAGCTCAGGACCTCATTGTATATACCATTTCATTTGGGGGCTTTTCTGAGAAGTAGGAAATGTCTACACTGAGCCAAAACTGCTCCCGTGGAGCTCTGCTCTGGAATCTCAGAGAACGTTTCTTGCTCCCTGACATGTCAACCACTTGAGCTTTTAAAGGGAAAGCTGTGATGTTCCTGATCCATTCTCTATTTGGAACAAACGTGCTCAGTTCTCTCAACCTGTTTTTCAAGGCCAAGTTTCCAACCCTTGCCTCGGGGCTTATTCCAGCCGCTGACAGCCCCTCCATCTGGCACTGTGTGTCCTGCCTGATAAATGCGAGATGAGTCACAATTGATTCGCTGATGTGTTGATGAGCCTGTTAGCCTCTCCTGGCCCTGCTTCTTCCTCACTTTTTATAACCCTGGAGTGATTCCAGGTTGGAATCTTACCCAAGGGAGGCTCTGTTCAGAACTGCTGTATGCCTGTGACCCGTTATCTCCTGGTTAGGCACCATCCCCACCCACTTCCCTGCCCAGGCACAAATCAAGCCCCTTTTGCACCTACTCTTTTTTGGGGGAAAGGCACAGATTCTGTAGCTCATCAGACTTGCTCTCAGGTCCTGTGTGGCTTCAGAAAAGTCACTTGACCTCTCTGAGCTTTTCCTCCCCACCCCCTGCAAGGTGAGGATGATATGGATAAAGTGTCTCAGGGTCGGGCTATTTAGCAGAATCAAGGCAGGGAGCTTTTAAGAACATATCAGGGCCTGAGCCTTGCCCACCTTAGAAATTCTGATTCAACTCTTCTGGGGTGTGGCTTGGACATGGGAACCTTTTCAAAAGTTCCCCAGGGTTTTGGGTCAGCAGCCAGGGTGAGAACCATTTATGTAGATGATGTCTAAGAGGCTAATAATCATTGATATTCTGATTCTATGGTTCTTTTCTTGGGTCCAGTGACTCTGGGGTCGTACTCCTTCAGTGCTGGACGCTTATGGCAAGATGAGGATCCCAGCCCTAGGTCTCTCTAAAGGGGTTGAAAGCTGGTGTTCTGTGCCGCGCAGGTTCTGAGATATGTATGTGTGTGCATGGTCTCCCCAGCGTGTGGACCCAGAAATCCATGTGCCATCTGATTGAGACCAACATCAGGGAGCAGCAAGAACTGGAGGGCAAGAAGGTGCCCCAGTACCCGTGCCTGTGGGTCAACGTGTCAGCTGTGGGCCGGTGGGCTGTGCTGTACCACACAGAGGACACTCGGGACCAGAACCAGCAGGTACTGACTTGGGGGTGGGAGGTGATGGGCATGTGTCCCCTTGCCCCTGGCGGGTGTGTGGGCCTCTTCCTAACTGAATCCCCATCCCCGCTCTGGGGAGTGGAAGCTGAGAAAGCCGAGCCTACTTGACAAGGGTTCACAGCTGGTATGAGGTCCAGCCAGACTCAGCAGCTCTGGGTTGGAGTCAGAGAGACCTGGGTTCTTGAATCCCCACTGTGCCACTAAGTGCTGTATGACCCGGATGCCGCCTTTGCCGAAGTGCTCTGATGGACTCAGAGGCTGTGTGGTGTGCTGGGCTCCATGTCAGATGGATGGCAGGCACGTGCCTGCCATTCAGAGAGGTGGTGGCACCCACCAAAGTCACACACCATGGATGCCAATGGTCAGCTGACCCCACAGAGAAGAACCCCTGAGACTGGCCCCCCCCTCGGTGAAACCGGAGGCTCAGGCCTGAAGCAATCTCTGGAGGCCTGTGCTTGGGAGATTTTCCCATCACTGCCTCTCCACACCACCCCCCCAGTCCCCCAGCCCGTTCTTTCTTCCAGAAAATACAAGTTGGCTGTATCCATTGATTCATTTACTCATTCATCCAGTAGTCACTGAGCACGTCCTGTGTTAGGAGCTCTGGACTCAGGAGGAGAGAGCTCATGTGGGAAATAATATCTAGTGGGGAGGGATCAGTGCCACAGAGAGGAACAGACAAAATCATGCGGTTAAAGGCGGGAGTGACTTTTTCCAGCCAACAGCCAGGTGAGGGTGTCCGAAAAGCGTTTGGGTCAGGCTTTGTTAGACACTCAGAAACATGGGGGCAGCTTGCCTGGTGAGGGGAGGGCGGAGACCAGGGCGCGGCGGCAGGAAGGGCCTAGAAGAGACAGGACTGGGAGGGATGCTGCCATCACCGACACAGGGTATGGTGGGGCCGGGGGAGGCTGCACAGGTGGGCTCCGCGCGACCCAATTATGGAAGCAGAAAGCTTCTGGCCTATGGTAGGTTTTTGTTTGTTTCTTTGAGAGAAGCAAAACCTTAATGAAGAATGCTACAAGTTATGGATAATAATTCATTCCTATATTTAAAACTAAGATTATAGCAAGCACTTTACAGATTTTTTTTTTTTTTGCTCAAACGATAGTCTTTAAGGATGTCTGAGTGAGACAGCAGACACAATGCAGTAGGCCAGGAGAAGTATGTGTTGAATTCCAGGGCAAGACACAGCCCAGCACCGTTAGGGAAGCAGGTGGAGGAAGCCGTCCCACAAAGCATGGAGTTAGGCGTTTATGTTCAATCGGGATTTTTTTTAAAGCTTTGAAAGTCCAGCATGAAGAAGAGAATTGGGGGAAGGGCTAAGCTTATCTACAACCACCGTTTTACCAAAAGCCACACTGGTTCAACCTCATGAGAAGTGGGGGTGATCTGCCTGAGCAGCAAGCGTAGGAAGAGCGAACGCCAAGGCAGTCAGCACTCTGATCCCACCAGGACGGGTCTCTCACCAGCCTGGGCTCAGAACACTCGAAGTTCCTTTGTGATTCTATCAGAAGGCCAGAGCTTTATCTAGAACAAGTTCACTCCGAAGAACGCTCATGGTGCTGATTGTAGCAGGGAGTCGAGTCATAAGCGGCTCCTAACTGATCACCGTTTCCCATAGCATTTCCCAGGGGAAGGTTCTACTGGGTCCCAGGAATTTAAATTCAAGGAGACCTAAAAGAACCATATAGAAGGGAAGTGCTAATGATATTCTGGCAACGTACGAGCTGTGTGCCCATAATCTTTGCAAGGACTACCGAATTATGGAATTAAAATGTGACTGAGCAAGCTAGCCCTGCTCAACTCTGGCCGTGCACTGGAACCATCTGGGGACTGAACAAAACTGGATTTCTACACCAGCCCAACTGATGCAGAATCTCGGGACTCTCCAGGGGATTCTGAGGTTTAGAATTACTTCTGTGAGCAACCAGGAGTATTTAAAGGGTCTGTGGGCCTGGTGCATGATCAGAGTGATACAGAGGAGTGTGAAGTTCAGTGGCTGGGCAGAGAGGGCTGCGGACATGGCCAACAGCCAGGATGGAGATTGGGCCTGCAGTAGGGATGGATGCCAATGGTCAGAGTTTGGCAGTTGATGGGATGGGAAGGGCAGGGTGCCGAGGGTGCGCAGGAGGATTACCGACGGTGTTGGGGGGTCACGGAGAAGTGGGTCAGGACAGTGCAAGGGGGTCCAGACCTGTTATGTCAACACTAGCATGACTCAGCTCCACCAGATGGGGTAGAGCCCCCAAATCCCCCTGAATCAGCTCCTACCAGGTCTCCTGCTTCTTCTTTGGCATTTGATGGCTGCTGATTTATCCCAAGGAGCAAGCAATAAATTTCCAAAATCAAGCCGAAGCGATCACTGTTGTGATAGGGACCGGGAGAGTGGGCTGGCTTGCAGGCGGCCTGCCTGACCCCGAGGTTGCTAGCATCTCCCTGCTGCACTGCACCCCGGGTCAGTTTCTGCAGCGCACCTTCCAGTCCTGTCTCCATGACAAGTCATCGGGGTAGCTACCCTCACAGACCTAATTATAAGACTCAGAGAGGTGGTGGCACCCACCAAAGTCACACAACTTGGACCTGGTGGCTGAATCCAGGTCTCTCTGGCTCCACAGCCACACCTTTGCTCAATGGGGTCAGTTACCCAAGGTCATAGTCAGAGGCATTGGGGCGATAGGCGAGGTCCTCTCTGCACGGAATTCTGAACTCAGCTGCTCCTGGGACCCTGCAGTGCCCAACAACTTTGAATGTCAGCTTCCTTGGAGGCAGCTCTCCCCAGCCTCAGCTGCTCCCTGGCTGGCTGGGAACCGGCTCTGGACACAGCTCCCCCATCCCCAGGCTGTCAGGACCATGATGCAACCATCTTCTTTACTGCTGGATGAGTGCTGTCAGGGCAGGCAGCTTGGGGACAGGATCTCATTCAAATCCAGGGAGTAACCGAGGCCTGGGGAGAAGCCGGCGCAACATTCCACATTTTGATTTCGGACATGACTGTCCCAGGCCAGTGGTCTCAAACTACTGTGCATGAAGGAGTCACTTGTTTGCTGGGTCCACCCTCAACAATTCAGAGTGAGTAGGAATCCGTGCTCTGGTCAGCCCTCCAGCTAGTCTGCTGCAGGTGCTGTGGGGGACCCACCTTGTAGAACCTTCCAGAGTCTCACATAAAAACCTTCAGACCTCCCGGCACAGAACGGAGATAAAACCAGGGTCTCCCCACTGTGCAGAGTTTTCCTCTGCAGAGCTTTCCAACTGGACCTCACCTGACCAAGCCAGAGGCTCCTAACAACAACAATCGGTGTCAGAATTAAGTGTGTTCTATGGTCTGCCTGTGCAAGTTCTTTCAAATGTGTTCTCTCCTTCCTTTGAATCCCAGTGTCAAATATTGGCTTGCCAATATCTTTTGTTTCACTCACACAGGGCTAGACCTCAAAGGGTTTGCAATGCACATTTTTGCCACTATTTTAAAATTGTGGGAGTTCACCTTAAAATTTGGCTTTCTGGCTTTTCTTGAAATGTCGGAGGCCTGGTACAGTAGGTCTCCTGGATCACATGGCATCCATCGTCCAGATGGAGTGACGATTGCCAGTCTGGATGCTTCTGGCTCTCTCCATTTCACCAGGCCTCCCCAGTCCCTGACTGTCCTCCATGGCACAAGGCGAGTGTCCGCTGGCTCTTGTCATCTTCCCTCACCCACTTCACCTGTGGACGTTACGTGCACACAGCCCTGTGGGAAACTGAGTGTAGGACTTCTGCCCTGAATCCGAATACAGAGCCCACTTGGTCTGTGTCACTCATAGGTTAGTGAAGTTTGAAGTCCATCTTTAATAACATCCTTTGAAAGAGATACTGCTCTTAACCCCTTCAAGAGAGAAGTCAGCAAGGCTGAGAAAGGTAAGCACTTTGCCTGAGGTTCTACAGCCAGGACTCCAGCTGGGCCCCTGCCTCCGGGCGAGCGGCTCCTGGGCCGCCCCCCTCACACGTGACACTGGGAAGGAACCCTCTAGAACCAGGCAGTGCACAGCCTGCCAAGCTCTCGACAGACTTCACTCCCACCTGGAGGCCCGACTCCAAAGCCAGCACTTTTCTTTCCTTCATGCCGGCCCCTCATTTCTCCCAGAGAAACCGGGATTTCCAACTTCATGGGTGCTCTTGCCTTCCCCCCCGCAGTGCTCCTACATCCCAGGCAGCCTGGAGAACTACCAAGAGGCCCGGGCCGATGTGGAGAAGGTCAGGGCCACATTCCACAAGAAACAGATTTTCTACTGCTTCTCAACAAGTCGGGAGAATGAGACCAGTGTCCTGTACCAGCGCCTCTATGGGCCCCGGACCCTTCTCTTCTCTCTCGTCTGGCCCACCTTCCTCATTATCGCCATGGTGAAGATCAACCAGTGCCTTTCCATCCTGGCGGCTCAGAAGTAGACCTATCCATGCCACCGAGCTGCGGGAGCTGCAGGGGACTGGGTGGGCCCCAGGTGGCTCCGGACTTGCGTAGACCTGCCCCCTCCCCCTGCCTTCTCACTGTTCCGCTCCCGGCCCATAACAACCTCTGCTACCTGGGTGGGCTTTGGGAAGTCCCTTTGTTATGTCATTCCTGTTTAAGAATGTACACTGGCTCCCTGGTGCTTCAGAGAGTTCAAGGCCGGCTGGTAACAGCTTCCCATTACCTGTCCCCACTCAGCTGACTGAAACCCACTTCCTGCTGCGCCCCCACCAGCCCACAGACGGCAAGGATGCTCGTCTCTCCGTGCCTGCATTCTCATGGTCGGCTCAAAGGCCTACCTTTGTCATCCTTGGCAGACCTCACTTCCTTCTTTGAATTCCATAATGAAAACCACAGCAGCTCCCATGTATAGAGAACATTTAGAATTTGCTTGTAGGACACTAGGTGCTATGTACGTTTTTATTCCCATATTAACAAATATAGGTACAAACTTCCAGTTGCAAAATACTGAAGTCCTGGGGATATAACAGACAGCATGGTGACTATAGTTAGCCACATTGTACCGCGTAGTTGAAAGTGGCGGAGAGGAGATCTTAAAGGTTCTCAACCCAAGAAAAGAAATCTATAACTGTGTACGGTGACAGATGTTAACTAGATTTACTGTGGTGATCATTTTGCAATATATATATAAATATCAAATTATTATGCTGTACACCTGAAACTAACGTCATGTTATATATCAATATCTCAATAAAAATATATATGTGTGTAGATATGTGTGTGTATATATATATATATGTATCACAAGAGGCTATAAGAAAATACACTAAAATATATCAAAATATTAACAGTGGGATTGAGGATTGGGATGGTGGTTAATTTTAATTTTCTTTCTCATCCCCCTTTTTATCTTTGGTACTTTTCTAAATTTTCAGCCGTAGGAAGGTGTGGTTTCATTGTTCATTTTTTTTTTTTTAAACAACTATGCTTCTCTTCATTTTTTTTAAAGATTTTATTTATTTGAGAGAGAGAGAGAGTGAGCATGAGCTGGGGTGGGTGGTAGGGGCAGAGGGAGAAGGAGAAGCAGGCTCCCTGCAGAGCTGGGAGCCCGATGCGGGACTCGATCCCAGGAACCCTGGGATCATACCCTGAGCCAAAGGCAGATGCTTAACCGACTGAGCCCCCCAGGTGCCCCTCATTGGGTTTGTTTTTAATCCCCAAAACAATGATAGATATTATTTTGGAAAGATTTGGAAGGGTGAGCCTCACGTCACCAAGCAGTTGGAAGTGGGCTGGGGAGCGGTTGGGCTCCAATCAGAGGCAGGCTTTTGAGAACATAGAATTTTAAGAACCCTCTATGGAAGGAAGGGAACCATATAGATGGGGATTTATAACTTACAATACAGGTAAGTATATGGCACTGGCCCTGCAAGGGAAGCCCGTCTCACATTTGAAAGGTCACAGGTGGAGCATGCCATCATCTCTGCCATTACTCTTCCAAGAAGTCTTCCTAGAGCAGCGGTTCTCAAAGTATGGTTCCTGGTGCAGCGACATCAGCATTCTGTGGAGCCTTGGGAGACATGTACATTCTCAGGCCCTGGCTCCAGCCCTTCCTAGTCAGAAACCACAAGGGGCTGGGATGGGGTGGGGTGGGTGGCAGACGGAGGAGGGGACAGCACTCTGTGTTTCTGACGTGCCCTCAAGCGTGACAACCACTGGTATAGAGAACCAGTGCCCTGTCACCGGGCTTTTCAGAACAGATAAATGACTACTTGACAGGGCAAGCCCTGAGCTGGATGTGAAGTTAGGCTGGTGTCTCCGAAGTTCCTTCAGGAGCTGTGATTCTGGCCACAGCCCCTGGGTAGGAATCTTGTCTCTGCTTCTGCCAGATTTCATCTCACTGATTCTCAGTTGTTTCATCTATAAAAAAGTGACTCCTCCTTTAGGGTAGTTGGGGGTGCCGAATAACGGTTTGGCACATGGTAGGTGGCCAGAATGCAAGTAATTGGATACTGAGAAACTTCCAGAAGCAATGATACCAGTGATAATGTTAGCTAGCATTTACTGGTGCTTATGTATTACATGCCGGGCGCTGTGCTAAGCAGTTTGCCTTATAACAATTCAGTGAGGTACTACTGAGCCTACCTCAGAGAGGAGGAGAAGCAACACAGGACAGTGGTTAACTATGTGAACTTGAATGAGGACAGCCTGCCTTCAGATACCTGACCCTGCCATTCCCTAGCTGGTGACTTTGGGCAAATAACCTTTGGGTGCCTCAATTTCCTCATTTGCAAAATAGGAACTAATAATGTCTCCCTTTTAGGATTGTTGGCATTAAACTGGTTATTCTATAGGCTTCCTAGAATAGTAACTGCCGCATGGTAAGTGCTATATGATATTATGAAAAACTGAAGCTCTCAGAGGTCATTGGCCAAGCTCATCCATATAGCTGGTGAGGTGCTAAGAATCAAGCCCTGGGCTGTGTGATTCCAGAGTGGACTGTCAACCACAGTACTTGAGCAGACTCAGCTAAAGGGCTGAGGGCCCCAGTCCTCCAAAGCCCTAGGGGCCAGGTAAGGAAACTTGTTGGGCCCCTGGAACCCAATGGTGCCCTCATACAAGTCAGAGATGTGAAGGGGAAGCATCTATAATCTGCCTGAACATCTCTCGCTTCCAACCAGGGAGCCCTGATGTATCCTTATGCCCTCCAGGTTCTCACTTGGGTGGGGATATTCCTTCCAAGGGGAGACAGTACACCATACCCCAGAGTTTCTCCTTTCTGGGGTCAGGGAAGTCTCAAGAGTCCTCCGAGTCTTTTAAGAAAACCTCAGTGGTGACATTGTACTATGGTAATGGTACTAACCAAAGACATTACCTTTGGGGGGAAATTAGGCAAAGGGTACAATGGGATCTCTCTGTATTATTTCTTACAACTACATGGGAGTCTGCAAGTATCTCAAAAACGTAAGTTAATTTAAATAATAAGAAAAAAGTCCCCACCGTAAGTCTTGCTGCGTGAGTCCCTCTGAAAGGGACTTCTTGGCATCTGGTTTCCATGTACCTGCATTTGGGGCTAAAATACACAGAAACTCAGAATATCCAAACAGCCCCTGCTAGGGGAAAGGCCATGTGGCTCTAGAAAAATGCCCAGCCCCCACTGGACTATGCATTATTGATGATGACCTTCATTGGCCCGGGACAACTGCCCTCCTCCTGTCAATAAGACTGGCTTCCATCTTCCTGCTGCTCACCGAACTCCCTGGACAGGATGAGCATGAAATACGAGCATTTAAGCATGATAAGTCAGACACTCAGGAAAGATGTTTTTTGGAATAATGGCTGTCGAGGAGCAGGAAGCCCTCATCAGTCCTTAATAAATCACTACTAATGAGCATCTCATGCTTCCACCGTTCTGGCTTCTCATCTCATCTTGACTCACACCTGGAGAGATGCACCTGGCATGCTCTCCCGCATCCCTCCCCTGGAACTCAGCCCACGCTTTGGGGCTTGGAGACAGGGGATGGGGAGGGTAGAGATGAATCAGACCCAGTGCCTGCCTTCAAGGAGCTTTCCGTTCTTGCCGCTCCTCCTGTCCCCCTCCGCCACCATTATCAAGGGCTCCCTTCTTCATGGTGAAGAGCCTAACTTACACAAATTCGGAATAGTGCAATATAAAATATTAACAAAATCTTTTTGTGACATTGAAATGATTCCAGCCCCACCCCAACAACAATTTATCCAAAATTTATCCTAATTTTAGAACTCCTTTCTCAAGTGAATGGATTGTAAACTGCATTCATTCTATTGCTAATTGACAACACAGGCTGGTGCATAAAAATATCTCATCTTTCAGACTAGAATTGCACTCAGGGAATTTTGAGCTATATGAAATATTTGGGAAGGTACTGTTTGAACAAAGTGTAGCTATCGTGTACCTCATCAGTGGCTGCCTTTTCACATGGGGGGAAAGGGAAAGATTGAAGCAAGATCGGAAAGACAGGGAGAAATTCACCCCAATCCAGTGCAGCGGTTCTCAGAGAGGAGGCTTGCAAGGTCAAAACCGTTCACGATAATATTGAGATGCTCAGCTTCTTTCTAGATTTCCATAACTCTCCCTTCCCACTCATAGAAAGCAGATGATCCTCAGTCAACTTCCTTAAAGATTTGAGAGATGGGGAAGGGCTGGATATAGATGCAAAGCCTACAGCTTCCAGATGACCGGTGGACAAATTTGGGGATTTACCCAAAGGCTTGCACCTCCTCCTGCAGTTGCAGCGTCTTTAATCTCCCATAATTTCCATCCCCCCACACTGAGTTCCCTCTTTTCTGACATACATAAACTAAACACAGGGGCTTGCTAAGTACATGCAGCTTCAAGATATGCCTTCTCTCCCCACTCCCAGTGAGAGACTTGTGAGGGTCTGAGCCCCCCTGTGTCAGTTCTGGAGCCCCTGCTCGTTGACTCCCCTTATTCCAATACAAACTCATGTTCTCTGAAGGTCAGTGGTTCTTTAAGATCCTCTAGTGCTGGGTGCCTTGGGGGCTCTGTCAGTGAAGCGGCTGACTCTGGATTTTGGCTCAGGTCGTGATCCCAGGGTCCTAGGATCGAGCCCCGTGTCGGACTCTGCACTCAGTAGGGAGTCTGCTTGAGGATTCTCTCTGCCTCTGCCTTTCCCTGGAGCTCATGCTCTCTCTCTCTAAAATAAATAAATCTTTTTTTTTTTTCTAAAGATCATCTAGTGCTTCCCCTCTTTCTAATCTGGTGCTGGGATCCTCCCTACAATAGTCCTCTTTAGTGACAATTTACATTAACATCCTTTTGATGAGTAACGCATTGTACTGGGAAGCAGCCACTTCCATTGGGGATATGTTTAGCAAAGGTCTCCCTGTTCGAGAATGTGTCATCCCTAATAGTAGGAAGAGCTAAAACATGTTGAGCACTTGTTGGCCAGGCTCTGGGCTGAGCTTCTATGTGCACAGCTCATTTCACCCTAACAATACCCTTTAGGTTATTATTCCTGTCTTCACTGTCTAAATGAAGCAACTGAGGCAGAGGGGAGGGACTTAACTTGCCTCAGATCAGAAGTTAGTCAAATGCAAAGCTGGCATTCAAACCTGGACAGCATGGCTTCAGACCATACTCTCAAAACTCTGTGATTCCTGCCCCGTAGTCTCTGCTCTGTGTCCAAAATGGAAAATGCCGAGCAGTCAGGACTGGGAGTCTATCGGATGCTTCCATATACCTTCCCACAGAGCCCCGGCTTTCAGCTGGCTCCCTGGAACCACACCTCTGAAGAGTGAACAGAGGGAGGTTGAGGTCCAAACATATGTATCCAAGAAAGCCCCGCCAAAGTTCTGATGTGGGCACTACTAAGACAGACAGGGGCCAGTCAGCACAATCTGCCCGACTCCGTCACCGCCCAGCCCATAGCCCATCAGACACTGGGCAGGAACCAGGCATGCCCCAGGCCACAACAGTCCCTGAATTGGTCTATTAAAAAGCAGAAGAAGATGGAAGAGAGGCTGGTCTGACATGATTCTTTCTTGAGGACCCCATGCTTCTCTCAGTGATACCTGTTTTCTTTCCCACTTGTTCCCAAACCATTGGTCTAATAGTCCACTTGGCCACTCTAGAATTTATCCAGAAGTTGACAGCATGCTTATTTATGTATAACTTTAGAGTCTTCTCTTACTATCGTTAGTGACTCTTCTTGCTATTTAAGTAATTTTTCTAGGACTCTGTTGACCACTCAAGTAGTCATATTCTTAGAAA